GATCCACCTGCCCACATCCAGTTAAGATTGTTAACTCTGATGGCTGTGTACATAAAGCAACTGGGTAAGGCAAGTCCCAGAGGTTCCCTGGCACTATTTCAGCGCATCAGAGAAATCCCACAGGAGCAGAGAAACGGAGAACTTTCAGCGAGGAGAGGCTTAGTTCAACCATAAGGCAAATTTCTTCTTTGTTACTAGGAACGTGGTGAATCCTGCTAGGGCTTAAAAATGATCGCTGAAGCCAGCACAGCCACCTAAAGGCATCAGTTTCTACTGCTTAAGTAAAAAAAAAAAGTAGACTGATGGAATCCAAGGGCATACAAGACTCAGGTATCCAAAAAGGAAAGACAACCAGGGTGCTTCCAAAACTCCCATCAGATGGAAAGAATGGCTGGCTGACACATTCTTTGCACTGCTGTGCAAAGTGTTGCTCTGCAAGCGTGCTGCAAATAGAGCTCGATTTTTCCAGTCCTGTGATGGTATGGAAAAAAACCCACCAACAAAAATAAAATAACAACAAAAATATCAAGACTTTTATGAATCCAAATTCCAAAAAGTGAAGAAAGTCACTTGACTAAAACAACGCTGCCCATATGTTTCACCCAGCAAATTAAAACCAAACACCTCCACTCTCCCCAAATCTACAGCAAGAACTTGGAGTTACAAGTCCAGAAATGCAACTACTCCCTGAGAGAGGGGAAGGCATCACCAATTTGCATCAAGCACCTGCAACTTAATCCCAGCAAAACCAGTTCTAAGTTATGTTTCCATTGCTGAGCTTCACCAGTGTATCTGGTTTTGGCTTTTTTTATTTTTTTAAACCAAGTTTTGTTTAGTTTGTTTGCTGAGCTGTTAACATGGTTACAATCAGTGGGAGTAACAGGGTTTAGTAGTGCTGAATCACACAGTTGCCCATGTCTGTCTCCGTAGAAGCAGTGCTTTCTGCATTTTGGACTAACCACAAATTCCCTCTGGATAAGAACTTGATTATAGGAAATCTTCAGCTTTGCTTAAGGCTAACAGGAATGGAAAAGCTTCTTAAATACTGTCAGTGCTCAATAAGGTTTTACTGCAGTGTCTCTGCATACTAAGCATAACATTCAAGTTGAACAAAAATCACTATCGTCAGTCTTTTATGCCAAAGTTTTGTGGGTTTTTTTAAAAGAATGAATGGCATTTGGGGGGAAAAAAAAAAATCAAACAGACATCATCTTGCACTAGCTCAGCCTCTGTCACAGCTGTTCAGCCTAGTGTAGTCAAAGGCCTTAAAAATTTTTAGAAAAAGTATGCTGCTACAGTCCAGTCGCACTAGATGCGGCACTCCAGAACTCTCAAACCATGCTGTGTAGCAGGCTACTTTCAGCACTATTTGCAAGGAAAACATACTAACAAAGACGCAGTCCCCACTCTCTGTTGCAGCCATTGTCATTAGCCTCTCATCGCCTCACTTTGCTGGCCTCTCTGCATGCAGATTAACTCAATTTTGTACTGCATTAGACTCTTCTAGGCGTAGCTTGAGGAGATCAAACTCTGAGCTGACAAGCAAATGGCATTTCTTTGTAAATAACACAGGGAAAAAGTAACAGAAAATATGTGCGTGCTTAGATAGGCTCACTATCTCCCACGCAGCTCAACAGTAGCTTAATTCCTTTTGCATCCTCTCCCTGCATTTGCTCTGACATCCTGCCTGCCCTCTCCTCCCACTCCTCTTTTTCAAGAAATAGCCACAAACGTACCTGTAGGGTGCTGGTTAAAAAGTTGTCCTGGGAGACAATGTCCACGAAAAAATCAGCTGGGATTTCACTGAGCTGGTGATACAGCACAGAAATGAGATTGATATAAAGGTCTTGATACTTCCCGATGGCATCTTCGGATCGGCACAGGATGTTTAAGAGTCTTTTCCAGTGCTCAAATGCATCATAGACGTTCCCGATCAGGAAGCAGATGAAAGCAAACTGCAACTCAGCTGCGCATATTCAGCAAAGGAAAACAAAACAAAACACACATAAGACGAGAAACAAATCCAAGGTACATGTTCTCTCAAAAGCTCTGTCAATGATTGCATAAAACTCTAGGTTTGCCTTTCGCACATGCATTCTGCCCTTCCAGCGATTCTGCTAATAGCAATCAATACTCCAAACACTGACTATTTCCTAATGGTCAGCTGGAAAAAACCCAAAGCATAATCAGGCAGGTCCACCTGTAACTGTAATTATCACTTTTGGAGAGTGACTTTCCTGGCAATCAGAATATACAGCCACCTAAGGACTTCCAGTATCATCCATGTTCTCAAAATGACACTCAAATAAGTAGTCAGACATTGCTGTTATTCTGCAAGCATTCATTCCGCCTTGTGCGGAGCATGGGTTTCCAGAGCCACACAGGAGTGCAAATTCTACTGCCCTTGAATGTAAAGGCTGTAGAAACACTGGGAGAGATGAGCGGTACGTTAACAGATGATTTTTCCTCGTGGAATTAAGAGCCAGGATGCATCTCACCGGACACTTAGTATCGGCTATTTTGCCAGAATGGTGGTGTCACTGTTTCCTAAGCTAATTCATCCTTTGTATATCCTACAGCCTAATTATCTTTGATAATTTTGATAGAGAATAAATTGTATAACGTTAATATAGAAAAAGATGGAAGAAGAGAAAACCAAAAGCTTATTCCAAACCTCAGGAGCCTCAAGGCTCCAGCTCGGCTGGGTTCCCAAGCCCTCCCTCCACACTGCCACCATACAAAACCCACACTTCAGGACCTCCACAGATTTGATATTTCTTCCTATCACAAGATGTTAAAAAAAGGCTGGCAAGTAATTAAGACCCTGTGACGGGGAGTTGCAGCCCTCACTGTGGATGTCTCCTGCAGCAGGGCTGGCAAACCTCAAACGCTGCCGCAGAGAGTCGCCAGCAGCACACAGCAGAGGTGCCACCGCTCCAGCCAGGGAGGAGACCGGCTACTGCTGGGAGACCTGACACCACCTCACCACTGAAACAGGAACAAGAATCTGAAAATTACGATGTTCAATCCCATTCAATGCTCCCAGGACTCTGTTAGCTCCGTCCTCAGAGGTTCACTTAACAGGAAAATTGCCAGGCTGGTGCCAAACATCAGGTCCCCTTTGCATGGGATGCACCTCGCAGCTGCCTGCGATTGGCTGCTTTTGACTTAAATTTGCAGCAATCTGGGCTGGCAGCTCCAGAACCAAGCACCGCGTTCTCACACCAGTGCAACTGGAACAGGCCCTACAGCTGATAAAACCTCCAGAAACTTCTGTCCTGTTGAGTCATAGAATCCCAGAATCCCAGACTGGTTTGGGCTGGAAGGGACCCCACAGCCCACCCTCTGCCATGGGCAGGGACCCCCTCCACTAGCCCAGGTTGCCCAAAGCCCCATCCAACCTGGCCTTGAACACTGCCAGGGAGCCAGGGGCAGCCACAGCTTCTCTGGGCACCCTGTGCCAGGGCCTCAGCACCCTCACAGGGAAGGATTTCTGCCTCACATCTCATCTCCATCTCCCCTCTTTTAGTTTAAGCCCGTTAACCCTTGTCCTGTCAGTACACCCCCGATAAATAGTCACACAATTAGGAGAGATGCCTCAGGACGCCAGGGGACAGGGCCCACGAACAGGCACAGCTTTCATCCCGGGGCTCTCGTTTCACAGAGAAACGGCTGCATCTTCCCAAAGCACCCGAGGACTCTCCCGGGCGACGTGCGGCACTCACCAAGCAGATCCAGAGGCTGACTGGCGTATCGCTGGCTGATCACCTTCTCCAGAGCGTAGCTGAGGTCCATGCTGTGCCTGGTTATCTCCTCCGGAGTAGCACCGCTGGGGTACATCTGCTTCGGCAGCTCCGTGAACCTGATCTCGGTGCCGGCTTTCGGCTTCATGCGGGGCAGCCGGGCCATGCCCTCCGCGTAGCTCCGGCACTCGGCGCCGAAGGGCGGCAAGCGCTGCTCCGCCCGGTCCCTGGTGTGCCGCCCGG